CCTGGGCACGATGGGATTACCAACGCTGCACTCCGACAGCTGCCCAATAGAGTCCTAGTAGAGCTTGGTCGACTCTACAATGGGATATTGCGGACATCCCACTTCCCGGAGGACTGGAAGAAAGGCAAAGTGATCGTCTTGCCGAAACCCGGGAAGGACAGGCGTAGAGCTGCCAGCTACAGGCCGATCACGCTATTACCGCATATAGCTAAACTGTTTGAAAGATTGCTGCTGAGACGTCTCCGTCCGTGTATCCAACTTCGGGCGGAGCAGCACGGATTCAGGAGGGGTCACTCTACAGTCACACAACTGACTAGAGTGCTGCACCTGCTTGCGGCTGAGTACAATCGTGGCCGCATATCGTTGGGCGTCTTTCTCGACATCGAGAAGGCGTTCGACCGGGTGTGGCACATAGGACTATTATACAAGCTGGAAGAACAGACCAGTGTCCTCCTGCTATATTGCGGTTAATGGCGTCTTTCCTGGAAGACAGGAAGTTCTACGTCTGCGTAGAGGACGCCGAGTCCGCAACAAGAACCATCAGAGCCGGCGTCCCACAGGGCAGCTGTTTGTCTCCAGTCCTGTACGCGGCTTACACTAATGATATACCTACTTTGGCAGGCAGGCTTCAAGAATGGGAGGACGACGTTGAGCTGGCGCTATATGCGGACGATAGCGCCTATTTCACCTCGTCCAGAAGAGCCCACATAGCCACTGCCAAGATGCATCGTCTGCTGGACCTGTTGCCACCATGGCTGGAAGAGTGGAGGATGGTCGTCAACGTTGGTAAGACGACCGCTCTGCTCACTCGCCGTCTCAGGAAATTTCCACCTCCGCTGACCCTCAACGGCCAGAAGATTGCGTACCAGAAGGCCGTAACTACTACCTTGTGTGCAGGATCGACAGGACGCTGCGCATGACCGCGCACGTCGACTTCGTCGTCCGTAGGGCCCGATGTGCGCGGACGACGCTCTTGCCGGTCCTGGCATCCAAGCTGCCTATAAGAACTAAGCTCCGGATATACAAGATGTATATCCGGACTATCATCACCTACGCTGCTCCGGCCTGTTACGCACTTCTGAGCGACCCTCTGAGGCGGCGACTACAGGCCCAGCAGAACCTGACATTAAGGACGATCGTCGGAGCAGGTCGCTACGTCCGGAATGACGTGATAGCGGCCGACTTGAAGATCGAGAACATCACCGACTTCGTGGCCCGGCTAGCGCGCGGCATGTTCGACCGTGGCGACAACGGGCCACACGAACACCTCAACGGCTTTGCGCCGTTGCACACTCGGCCACCGGACGGGCGACCTCTTCCAAGAGAACTCCTCTCTATATGTGATTAGAGAGTTGAGTAACAACCCACAATGCCGCTGAAAGGCCAACCTAGACTTACCAGACAACCACCTTTTTCCGTAGTCGGATAACTACGGATAAACATTTTCTTACCATCACGGAATAAATCCGTCAAATTCCATCTAGCCTAAGAGGCTACAAGGACTGTCCCATTGTAATGGGATATGAGGAACACCCGGGCAATGGGGGCTACCCCGAGGCCCGATACCTGCATGGTACCTCGGTACATGTAGACGACAGTCAACGCCCTTGTGATGATACCAGCTTGTTCCTTCTCATTTATTTCTCTTCCATTTTTGATCTTTATGCATATGGAATCTGATAAGATCTAGTAACTATAGGTTCATCGTCGATTATTTCAATTTTATGTTCATAGCAATTCGCTCTACCTAACTTGCTTGAAAATATATTCTTATGCTTTTCCAAGACCTTACCTAACTTAGCTTTTTCAGAGACCTACAATTTTGATCCTATCTTTATATCTGTTAAAGGATTATCAGTACTTTGTTCGACGCAGTTGTTATATAATACATATTCGCTGTTGTATTTAAAAGGTATGAAGAAGTCTTTGTTTTTCAACTTAAATTCTATACCAATTGCCGTATTCCTAAAATCAATCATTTTTTTCTTGAGCCAGTCAAAACCCCAATACTAATGGTCTTATTAAATTAGTAACAATTGAAGTTTATGTTTCATAGAATACGTCATCTATCTTTATAGGCAATAAGATCATCTGTTGTATTTTTGTGCTGCGCCGCCCAACAGCACATTTCATTTGCATTGCGTTATCTGGCATTACTTATATTTTATGATTACTACCTTTAATTTTTACGAATAAACTTTCTGAAATGCATGTAATATCGCTCCCAGTATCGAGAAACGCATCTATTTCTTTATCAAATATTGAAACTTTAGTTTCTGACCTCATATTCCCTATAAATTCCTTTTGATATTTATCTTCGTCTTCCTCGAAGGTGGTTTGCACGAATAACTCCGTTACGAGTAAATCTGACTTGGTTTTTAAAGTGTCTATTATGTATTTACATTATTTTTATAACCAAGTCCTTCTCTATTAAAATGTGCTTTTAAAGAAATAGGTTTTCGTAAACCCCTATTATTTTTACCAAGTGTTTGACCAGGTCGCCAACCCAGCTTTAATAATATATTTAATGCTTTGTCCCCTTTCACAATATAAGGGATCAAACCGGGAACTAATTCCACCTCTATTGCTCTAAATTTGGCTTCGCAGCAGAAACATTTATTTGATCGTTAGTGACTTGTATTTCATTCATTTCATTAACCTTCTTTTTTCCTTCTTCAGGTTTACGTCATGATTTATACGATTGCTGTATTTCTTTTTGCTTTTGTTCTGCATCATTATTAAGTTTCCGTTTTTCTCAATATAGTAAGGTTCACGACCTTCATCCTGTTTATCAATGTCATCCGAATTTCTCAAGAAATTTGTTGTCTCAATTATTGTCTCAATATTAGCTATTCTCCATAACTGCTGCACTGTTTTAGGATAATGTCTAATAACATCAGCTACTAATTGTTTTTCTGGTATCGGATACGATAATGTTTATGCTTTTTCAATAACATAAAGAAAGTAACCAACCATGGTGGGGTGCGCATATCTATTCCATTTATTTTGTACAAGGAATCTTCTTACTTTATTTTGTTCCTCCGCACCCCAAAATACTTTTAGAAAGTCTGCTTTAACATCATCAAAAGCTATCCAGTGCACACTATTATGCGAGCCCAATATTTGGCTTCACCTACAAAGCTCTTGTGCTACTGATATTTCAAGTCCTTGATGTGACTTCTAAAAATTTTACTGGATGAATATTTCCATTTCCAAATTTCGGCTTTTCTATTGTCACATTATGCATTGTGCATAATACAATACTCTGCTTAGGATCAGTAACGTGTGAGGTGCTCACCCCGTACACCTCTTCTTGGTTTACTTTAATTTGGCGATCTTTCGTTTGGTTAATAAAATTTTCTTCGAGATCTTTTATTTTAATCTCAAAGGTTTTCTCCACTGCATTCTTAACTAACTTTTGAAGCATTTTAAATTCATTTTTAGGCATAGCCTTCACTAAATTAGATTTTTTTTTGTTTTAGACATTTTAATATTTATATACTATTATCATTTTTTAGCACTGTTATGTCTTTTACTTATACATATTTTACTGCGTACTTTCACTTATTTCACTTTATAGTTTATTTCGTCTTAACCATGCACACACCTTGTATAGCAAATAATCATGTAATTAAACATGAATTTTAATTCCCAACGTTTCAGGTGCTTTTCAGCACCCGACATTGTGGGAAATTGAGGTAACTGACGTTACGACGTTAGTGTTAATCCAGAGTAAATTCAGCTTTTTATTATTACTTATGGTTCGATCTACCATACGTCAGTTTTCATATCCTTCGACAAGATTCAGGAGTGTACAAGCTTGATTGTGAATGTGGTCTGTCATACATAGGGCAAATAAAAGTGGATCAATTAGAACCCGCATAAAACAACATATAGTTGACGTGAAGCGTCAATGTTCAGGGAATTCTTCGGTTTGTGATCATATTCTAGACGGCAACCACCATTACATCAGATTTGATAGACTACAAATCCTCGCGAATGAACATGGATTCCTACCAAGGATGCGTGAGGCAGTTGAAATTTCAAAACATCCTAATTTTAATGGAGAAGGAGGCTGGGTACTTACACCTGCTTGGGATCCTGTAATTAATAAAATTAAATGAAAGCCCAAGCCTACCACTACAAGACTTCAAGACATAGCAAGTTATTCTGCGTAAATCGGACCATAAATAATAATTAAAATGATGAAGCTACTCCAAGTTACCACTGACATCGAGACGTCAGTCACCTCAGTACCCCATGACGGGTGCTGGAAAGCACCTGAAACGTCGGGAATTAAAAATCAATTATTATTATTGTTATAAGTTCTGCGTAACCGTGGTATTATACATGATAGATCCAAGCTGCAACTATATTATGGTTGTTGGACGAATGGGTCGGCTCGACCGTAATAGGACTACGCTCTTACAGAATACCAGCATAAAATAGCATCTTAAGAGCCTATACTACCTCAACTCAAATTCTAATTTCGCCCCCCACTTCCCCGCGCCATTCGTTCGCACACTGCTCGCGGTCACGCGGGAACACGAGGTCAAAGCGATTTTGTTAGAGGAAAATAAACTATAATCGGACGCGTAGTAAGTAATAAAATTATCAATCATAATTTACTATTAACTTGTCATTATATGAACATAAAATTATATATCGCAAATTTAATTTCATTGTACATACTAAGGGCTACTCAAACTAATATTCTAGTATAAGCTGACTCTTCATTGTACTGAAAGCCTATACAATGCAAGGTCAGCTTATACTGGAAATTCCAAATACTGGAAGGATACGCCCATTGGTTTAGCAGGTAGTAAGTTTGCGTTTTGTAGTTTTCGCCGTGTATGTATGTAATGTGACAGCCGTTGGGTATGTAGTTATGTAGGTAGTAGGTCTATGCAAGTACCTACGTTTCCGAATGCATGATTGTAAGAATTCATGATATCTGTGAATAGGCTATTTATTTCGTGTCGAAGTTTGCGTCTTTAGAAATGTGTTCAGATAAGCACTTTACTGATCTAGTGCGTGAGTCGAGTTCGACTTTGAACGGCGCCGATCCCGGCCGCCCAGCTGATGAACAGCGATCTGTGCCGGAGACGGACCGTAAACATACCGTTTAGCTTTGAATAATAACACCCCGTTTCGTGAATTTGAACTTGATTCGTGTGGCAATAAAAATGTATAAGTAAAAATATGTTATTCAAATAAATTTCAAATTCACGGAAGTATTTCTACGGTACGACGGATCGATGTGTAAAGAGTAACATTTAGAAGCTTCTTTCATAGGCCTACAAGCTGACATACCACCAATATAGTACGTAAATAGGTACTAGGGTCCATTCCGAGACTCGAGTTTCAAAATTTAGAGGCTCGTGTTTTTTTTTCGTGGACTCGAGACTATCTAGACTTATCCATCATTCAGTCCTCGCGTAGATACCTACTCAATTTATAAACCTAAAAGATTAGCATGAAATAAAATGTTATATGTAAATATGCATTTATTAAACAGTTTAATATGTACTTATATTCAGAATATACAATACAATTACAATAATAAAAAAAAAATCCGTAAAAAAAAAAAGACAAAAAAGAGGCTTCAACAAATTACGCGACACGCAATATTCATACGTAAGTACCCACTACAAATATCATATTACCGTTATAACAAAAAGTACATAATGCTTCCTAAACAAAAATAAACTCTCATCATAAATAACTAGGTAGATATGTAAAACACTACACGAGAGCGCGTCATTACTATGGTAATAATAAGAGATTTTTTTTTATTACAATATTTTAAAAGCACAGAATAAATAATAGTAGTACAGACTAAAAGTAAGTAGTATCAATATTTTTTGTCATGGGTGACATTTTCATGGTTTTCGAGGGTGTTGAAGCCGATAGTGCTGTCGAAATTTAAATCCAAGACGGCGGCTGTAATGGGTATTGATTTTTTCATCATGGGTGTCATTTTCATGGTTTTCGAGGGTGCTGAAGCCGATAGTGCTGTCGAAATGTAAATCCAAGGTGGCGGCTGCAATAGGTATAAACTTTTTCATCATGGGTGTCATTTTCATGGGTTTCGAGGGTGTTGAAGCCGATAGTGCTGTCGAAATGTAAATCCAAGATGGCGGCTGAATTAGGTATAAATTTTTTCATCATGGGTGTCATTTTCATTGGTTTTCGAGGGTGTTGAAGCCGATAGTGCTGTCGAAATGTATTTAAACTACTTTAAAAAATTCCGTATAATCATATATATGTTAATCATATATAATCATGTTATACGTAAATTTTTTAATGCGCTTAAGGCATGCCCAACTGGATTTACCAATTCCCTCACCCTCATAATCCGATGAGACGGTAAACCGACACAACCGGAGAGAGATCAGGTGCAGGACCAACGGCTTTACGTGCATTCCGAGATAAGGAGGTGGGCCACCGCCAACTTCCTGACTCCGGGCAGCTACTGAAAATTTCTTGACGGTATCAGAAACTACGGGTAGTACCTCTCATAATACACCGGTTGATCTTTTATAAATTTCAACTTATTTACAAAAAAATATTTTGGCCCGACCCGGGATTCGAACCCAGGACCTCATGATCAGCAGTCGCACTACTACAACCACTAGACCAATGAGGCAGTCAAAGTAACATAACATAACCCACAACATTCAAAACCTATCCCTAACCCCAGAGTGATACCTATTCCCTGTATCGTGGGTATCAGAAACTACGAGTGGTACCTATCATAACACCCCGATTGATCTTATATAAACATAAACAAACTTATGTAACAATAAAATTACAAAACGTTTTTGCAACACATCAAACGAATTTAAACTTTATCAACAGCCAGCAGCAACGTGACGTGACACTAGACATGAGCTTTATCTCGTTGCAATAAGGTTGAAACTCGAAAAATGATTCGCAAACCGATCCTTCGTGTTCGGCTCTATACATATTCGAAATACCTATATTCGAAATACCTAAGAAGCTACGTAAACAAAAGAATAATTTGACGGCCTCCGTAGCGCAGTGGCTTAGCAATGAGTTGTTGCGCTGGGGGCCGCGGGTTCGAATCCCGCAGGGAACAAGTATTTGTATGGCCTACAAATAATTGTTCCGGGTCAGGGTGCTTGTCCTCGTGCAATTTATGTTTGTAAACTGCCTCCACGATACAGGAGAAAATCCTAGAGTGGGGGTAACGTTTTTTTAAGAAAAAAAATTAAAAATGAAAATTAAATTGATACCGTTATTTATATCGGTAGTTAGATAGGTACTTACTTTTTTTTCCTTCGTTCAAAATACGGAGTTGTTCTCTTAGACGTTTTAATTGTTTTCTTTTTTCCGAGAGTTTTCTTTTTGCCCATCTTTATTTACACTTTAAATATAGGTAATATATTTACACAAAACGTTTTAAACTCCTTTTTACAGTAACACCTACCACAATACAAAATAAAAATGTCGGAAATAAATAGTCATCTCTCCGTAATGTCGCCAAACATAGGTTCGTCCCGTAATAGATGCCGCAGCAGAATGATTGAACAAATTGAAAAGGATAGCGCTATTGCTACCACGTACAAAACAAGAGACAGAAAGAGAGTGTGCTCGTTTAGAATTAAATAACGCAAGCGCCAAATCACATAATTGCTAATTACGAGAAGACCACGTAGAAAAATAAAAAAATAAATCGTCACGATTTGAGATAACATTATTATCTATCTATTAGCTAAAAATCATCATTCAATTCCATAAGGTTTCAGAGATCTAACTAACAATAAGTGCAAAACGAGGGTTTTTCATATTTTTTTTATCGAGAATTTTTTATCGAATCGTGTTTTTGCTTCAACAGATTTGAAGATTATAAGTCCAGGTTTAATGTGTCCAAATAGCAAACTGTTAGGTCTTACAGATAGGGTAGACCGAGGCGAATCGGATCACAGGGCGAATCGGATCAAAATAAGAAATCTGTTGATAATTCAAATATCGCATTCACATAGAACGCACTCAACCGGCGTTTTGCGTATCTCCTCTCACCCCGCACCTCCCGACATAGGCAGTATTTCGATCGCACTTGTGAATCAGTGGCGACGCCGCTAGTCAGCGACTCGGTCGTTTGTGTGTGTCGCAATTTTGGCGCTCATCTAAGGTACGTACTTACGATTTCTTTGTGTCATATTGCGGATTTGTGTTATAACTCAACTATATTGGTTTATATTGTTAAGCAAGGTGTCTATATTAGAGAACCAATTCGCTTTTAAGTATGATCTTAGAGGTTAACGTCTAAAATATTTATTTCAAAAGTCTTGATTATGGGGCTAATCGGATCATATCGTCAGGGGCGAATCGGATCACACTTTTAAACTGATTTATAACATGTTTGAAGTTATTGATTTATATTTATTTCATTGTCGCACGTACAGAAGAAAGACTGATGCCGGAGAATGGTCTCAAGAAAAAAATGAAAGAGGCTGTAAATAAAGTCCAGAACAAAGAGTTGACCTTACGTAAGGCTGCTGAGATTTTTGCAGTACCGTTCACGAGCTTACAGAGAAGAGTTACTTTATCCAGGGGTATTATTAAGCGTCGAGGTGGACAGCCAGCTTTAGATGAGAACGCAGAAAAGAAGTTAGCTGACCGGCTATTGCACTTGGCAAGTCGTGGCTTCGGAATTACACCCAAAGCGGTACGTAAGTACGCGTTTGAATTTGCAGAACGTCAAAACATAAAACACAAATTTGACAGAAATGCTGGAATGGCTGGCCAGGACTGGTTTCATCGCTTCATGCAAAGAAATAAAAAATTAACTATTCGGAAGCCGGAGGGTCTGTCAAGAGCAAGGTGTGATGGTATGAAGAAGGAAAAAGTAGCAGAATTCTTTAATACTTTGGAAACAGTAGTAGATAACAACAATTTAAGAGGAAAACCTGAATGTGTGTACAATGTTGATGAAACGGGTATGCCGCTTAGTAACCGCCCACCCAACATTATAGCCCAAAAAGGTGCTAAAGATGTTGTCAGCATGACTAGTGTTGAACGAGGTGAAAATGTAACCGTTCTAGCCTGTATGAATGCAGCAGGACAGTACATACCTCCATTTGTTCTATTCAAAGGTGTGCGTAAACGTGACGATTTTCTCCTAGGTATGCCACCTGGTACTGAAGTTGCCATGACAGAAAACGGCTGGGTCACCGAAGAAGCTTTTAAGTTGTGGCTGCAACATTTCAATCACTACCGGACCCCAGGAAAAGTAGTTCTAATTTTGGATGGGCATGCGTCTCACACCAGCTACTCAGTGGTAGACTTGTGTGACTCTTTCGTAATTGAACTTGTACTTCTTCCTCCACACACATCACATGCCCTGCAACCACTCGATGTATCGTTTTTCAAACCGCTCAAAACCTATTATCACCAACAAGCTACGGCATGGCAACATTCACATCCCAATCAAGGAATCACAAAAGTCGCTTTCGGAGCACTTTTCCAACGGGCTTGGAATCAGGCTGTTGGGAATGCTACAAAAGGCTTCGAAAAGACTGGAATATTTCCACTAAACGCCAATGCAATACCTGACCACAAGTTCATCGGTGATTAAGAGTCGGACATTGTAGAGTCCCAAGTCCAGTCCCCAAGTTCCCAAAAAATGCAGCTACACGTGCAAGCCACAAATACAAAACCACTTGATAATATAGTGCCATCCACAAGTTCACAACAATCTGACGAAGCCCAGCCTCCCACCTGTGCAGAAATAATTAAAGAAATTCTTCCATCACCTTTAAAGTCACCAATTGCTTCTAAAAGAATTCGTAAAGTTTCAAAACTGGCCTTGCATTTAACATCACCTCAGAATAAGACTACTCTTCTCGAAAAAGAAGCAAAGAAGAAATTTAAGGTAGACAATAAAACCAAGGAAAATAAGGAAAAGGCTGTGGGCAAAGAAAATACTATGAAGAAAATGAAGAATAAAGCAAAGCTTGCGATAAAAATTAAGAGTTCATCTCCAAAACATAGAGAGTGGCACTGCATTTACTATTCCGAAATATTCGTTCATCCACCATCAGAGGATTGGATTCAGTGCAATGCCTGCGAAGAATGGTGCCACGAAAAATGTGCTGATATGGGGGAGGAAAAAGGACCATATATATGTGAATTATGTGCCGATAATTAAAATTGATCTCATTATTAATTTTTTACTGATTCCAAAGCTATAGTCATAAGAAACTTAAAATTTTGTTACCTACATGTGTACGATCCGATTCACCCCGAAAATTGGGGCGATTCGGATATTTTTCTTTTTTTTAGTTTTTAATAGCTAATTAAGAGAATATATGTATGATTTAAGTTTTCAAATGTTTATTTCATAGCTGATTGTTACTTCTTACGTTTTTATCAATAAAAATAACATTATATAACACTTTAGTATGATTTGCTCAACCTCAAAGAAAAAGTGATCCGATTCGCCTCGGTCTACCCTACCGAGATCCAGATTGATCAATATCACCAAAACAGCATTATGCGGCCTCTTAATGCTGCTGATTTTCGTATGGTAAGTGTAGAGAACCGGAGACCCTTTTTTTGGAAACGAAGCATTCCATCTCAGTCCTCAGGGGTGACAACGAATCTGCATTTTGATTCTTAATTGAGGATTTTTATAGAATATAAATGCATCAACATTTATTATATTCTATAAAAAAAACTATGGGCCACAGTATCATTTAGAAATTTAGATCCTATTATTTATTTAGTAATTCCGATCCCAAATACACGTAGCCCATAGAGTATTTTGTGTCAATAATAACATTATACCTTTACAGTAAAAGTTGAGAAGATATTTAGATTGATGTTTACTGTTATGAGTGTCGTTGTATTTGAGCAAAATATTGAAACAAAATTAAGAAGTGGATTGCTTCTTATAACAAAAAAATAATATTAATCGCGGTAAATTAGCATGTAGGCATTTCCGTTTCCAAACGTGCGGAGCTGATTACATAAGCTGCATAATACTGATGACCCAACAAAATAATTACCTACTTCGTATTGCGTCTTTTAAAAGTTGAATTAAGGATATTAGGATATTATTAGGATAGAACAAAGTTTATAATAAATTATTGTTGAGTGTTTCAATTTCAAGTCTAATTTCCTGTGCTTTACCAGCATACAAAGCCATTATAAAATAATTAGATAGCTGAGAACCGTTTAAAATGTGTTTTCCTATTTTTGAGTATAGTATACAAGGGCCTGGCCCAGGCTCCATACATTTTTGAACATCTCATTTATTTTGACAAATTTGCCGTCCAATTTCTAAAAGATAAGTGGGTGCTATTCGGTAAAATGTTTATTTCATTCAGAGCGATATATATAAATAGTGAACACAAATACATTGCGGGCGTACTATAGGGTGAAAGGGGAAAAAACTGGAGGGATAGCGTATTGGGCTTAGATACGTTGCTTTTCTGCTAAGCTGAAGCCGTCCGTTCTCGTCACAGAGTAAGTCATCATCATGCCCATTTTAGTACTTTTTTAAACATATCCTCCAGAACGAATTTTGGTCACGATGGCCCTAAACGGAGACTAGACATCGGCGCAGGACAGGATTAGTGCCCAAGTTTATGTGCACAAGCACAAGTGCACTCTCTATTCCCTCACTCTCATAGTCCGATGGGACGGTAAACCGTTACGACCACAGAGATATTAGGCGCAGTATCAACGGCTTTACGTGCTTTCAGAGGCACGGGTTTGAAACACCGCCAACTCTCTGACTCCAGGCAGCTACAGAGAAGTTCTTAACGGAAAAACTCAATAACTCTTTTTTTTGCCCAACTCGGGATTCAAACCCGAGACCTCATGATCAGAGTCGCGTTTATAATCACTAAACCAACGAGACAGTCATATAAGCCCCAAATATAAGCACGAAAGCGAAACCTTATTAGGCTATAAAACTAAAGTAATAGAATACTCAAGCAACACTTTAAATCTTTTTGTTATATGACAGCAAACGGTATCAAAATCGTCTCGAAATTCGATTAACTAATCACACACATATCTGTGAAACAGTGCCTGCAATTTGTTTATAATTCCTATCGTCAAAACACCGACAAACGTAAAGCAACACGACATCACCCGAATCCGGACAAAAAGTTACGTATTTTTTAACTTTAGTAAATAAGTTTTATTTTCGAATTGTTTCTATAATTTAGGAGTCCATACTGCAGTATTATTGAGACGTAGCCGAAAACCTAAAGTAACAATATAATATTTTAAAATACCCACAATGTTGATATCGTACTTCGTAATCTTGTTCTATCATGACTAAAGTAACGGAAACACGATTCCATACGTAATTACTAGTTTCGTTCAAGGACCGTTACCCTTTTAACCACTCGTGTTAACTAATTTGCAACTTTTTCGTAGTAAAAATCTACAGAGGATTTTTTTGATACTAAATGAATACTGTAACTCATGGTTGCATGTAGTCAACTTTAATCTATGAAGAGTATTATGATGCGTGTAGATCTCTGAGGGCTAAGAAGGGGTATTATTCACCTGGAGTTACACATTGTTCATACTATATTTTCATTCAAATTCCATACCCTTCAAATTGAAATACGATAGTTTCAACACTTGGCCGCGAGAAAGTAAATATTTACTGAATGTATTACACGAGCTCACTACGTCTCAATTGAGTACACACCACCCCAAAGTTTTATGTAATTCTAATTTCTAGATTATCTGACATCATAATTATCATCAGCCTGCGGCTGTCCACAGCTGGTTAAAAGCTTACTACTTAGCCCGATCTTCGGCTTCACGCATACAATTGCTGCCAGATAATTTTCATATATCTTCGCTCCATCTAGCCAAGGAGCGCCCCAGACTACGTTTAGCTAAGCGCCGTCTCCACTCTATGACATGTTTAATAAACATACATATTGTTGCGCGCCTAAGTTGACGTCATGTAGTGTCAGGGACGAGAGCGGGGGGAGCTTTCCAGATGACATCACCAATCTTTCAACCGACAGCGCCATCTGGTGTCAAAACGAAGAACTAAGCTTCTAGAAGCCGACACTCGAACTTTCGGCGCCTTATCGATTGGTGCCCGTATTTACTTGAATGTTCTGGATGTTTCGGTGCTAATGTGTATTTATAGGTGCTGCAAGGTGCGATCGGGGCAGTATTGAATTTGGCGAGACAAGCGAAGCTTCGGAGCGAAATAAAGTGAATCATTGTGATTAATTATTAGTGTCTTCTAAGTTTTAATTAGTGTAGTGAATTAAAGAGCTAATTTTGGTTATCTATCGGCAATTTTTACTGTCACGAACCTCAAGCTCGTAACAATATAATAAACTATAAAAAAGATAAATGGTTAAGTCCGTTAGATATCAAGTGTGAGCTAATTAAGAAAATTGATTAATGAAGAAAAGCTATAAGTCATTATCGATTGCTCGAGCTCTTTTTATTTTAATAAGCCAACTCAGTAACGTTAACATGCTACCATGATTTTCTATTTAAGTGCGTACTCGATTAAAATACAATCACCATTATCGGTTAATGAAAATATTATATGGACATATTAAGTTTCTTGAAAATTGATAAGAATATCTATAAATGCTTCGTTTAAAAGATGTATCAATGCTAGTCAGCAAGTCGTATTTACGACTGTGCCTCATATTATATTGTTACGCGCTTGAGGTTCGTGACATTAAAAATTGCCGATAAAATTACCTAAATTAACACTTTAATTTCCTTTAAACAAATTAAAACATAAAACACTAGTAATCAAACACACTAATTCACTTAATTCCGTTCCGAAGCTTCGCTTGTGTCGCCGAGTTCAACTCTGCCCCGATCGCATCTTGCAGCGCCTATTTATATAATTAGCAAAGAAGCGTCCCGCACATTCAAGTAAATGCGCGCCAGGCAACGAGTATTCGAGTGTAATTTTCCAGAAACTTAGTTCTTCGGGTGGCGCTGTCGGTCGAAAGATTTGTGATGTCATTTACTGCAATGCTCCCATCGCTCTCGTTCCTGACACTAGATGGCGCTAGTTGACTTATTCATGCAACACTGCCCCCCTCCTAAGACATGCTCGTCCCGAGCATTATCGGTCCCATAATAACGCGCCAAGCGATCCACATGGACGATCTTAGGAGTCCCTCTTCCGCCTTTCTGTATCCGGTAGGTCACATCGTTGATCCTGGTTACAATCCGGTACGGGCCGTCCCATTTAGCTTGAAGCTTAGGAGATTTCCCTTTGCTGCGGACTGGATTGTGCAACCACACTAATGAACCTTCGTTGAACCCTTTATTGTTCATTTTGCGGTCGTACCGGGTTTTCATTTTCTCAGACATTTGCTGGCCCGATTGTCTGACGTGCTCATAAATGTCATTCATTTTATTCCGCAAGTCATTTGCATAATCGGTTATACTGCGTGGGGCATCAGGTGGTATCCCGGTGATCAGGTCCGCAGGCAGCCGTAATTCTCTTCCAAAGTTTGCGAAAGCTGGTGTCACTGCTGTACTTTCGTGAACAGAACTTCGATATAACAACAAAAACGGTTGTATGTGCTTGTCCCAATCTCGTTGCCGATTGTCTAC